TGCTGGCAACAGGACCATATAAACGACGACAAAGTACAGATAGCTCAGAATGTAATGGATAATGGAAGTGATAATAAACAGCCTTCAAAAGCGGGACATAAGCTTTCATTCAGTAGCCGTTTCGTGACTGCTCCATTCCTAGTCCTGGAAGAAGAAAATCAAATTGCTTTAGCAGGGTTACGAGTGACACGATTGAAAAAAAAAAAGGATTCCAAGTATTCAACCCAAAATTGTTATTTGAGTTTTCATGAGCTTCTATACCAAGCCATTAATTTTACCATCTAAGAAAAGGTAAGGAAAATCAAGAGAAAATATGTTGTGGAAAACAGTTTAGTCAAATTAATTCAACTCAGGGACCTCGCCATGGACCTCATCACATGCAAATCTTGAGGTGTGATTTTTCCACGATCGTGCAGCTTCAGCTTATTTGCATTTTGTTCTTCGGTACCTCGTGGCGGAGACCGTTGCCTTTCTCCGCAGAAGATAAATTGTTGACAAATCGACGACAGCGCCATGAAAGTCCTCAACATAAGGGGAATTGCCGAATATGTTCCATCTGAAGAATCGAGACGGACAAGAACTCACTACCGAGTGTATTCAGCCTCCGAGAGTGAAAAATGAGGTGAGAGCAGTTAATCACTGAGACATTGTGAGAACGAAATAAGAGTAAGCTGCCACATGTAAAAAGTATTATACTCGCAACAAACTGAAGTATTAAATGTGAGTATATCACTCGCAAACTATAGTATTAAATGTGAAAGCAAGTTTAAAACGGTGAAAGTGAAATTTGTCAAGAACTTCCACTTGCAGGGTAAATCGTTACATTTGTTCTGTTGAAACTTGCCGACGACGTTGTTCCTTGAGTTAAGCGAACAAGAAAATTCTTCTACGAAATTAAAAACAAATAAAAGCTTCCAAAAATTAGTAATATTATGAAAAATTGTGGTAAGATGTCAAAAGAAGGAGCATCGATTTCCCGAAGTCTATTTGATGTAAAGTGTTCAGTTGGTGGGCGGTCATTTGGCACCGAAATCATATGGAAGACTTCGCTCAACCATGGATGAGCGTTACCATTTTTTTCGGTTCGCGTTTATAAGCTAGTAATGGAAACGTTAAATAAATAATTACATTTATTCATTTCAGCACTGTTTTTCTCCTTCTTAGGTGAAGCGCCGTTTAAAAAACACTTTGGCATGGCTTGGAGAAACCACCCGCAAAGATTTACGCGAAGGTAAGGTTTGCAGTGACTTACGATAAAACAGGTACACAATATGTACATGTGTCTATGAGGGATATTTAAGTCCATAACCAGATGACTCATCAACTGAGGAATATCTGAGGCTCTACATTTATGTTATACGTCATAGTTTCAAGCAATATCCTGCAAGCCAACGACATAACATCCGTTTAGAATGCATATTTAGAGTGGCAATGATGGCAGTGACTTTTCCACTTTGCCTAAAATCTTTAAACACATGGATTGCAACTGAATGGATTAGAGATAATGGCGAGATCTTTAAGTAATTTAGCTATTAACTTCATTTACTTTCCACTAAGATTTCAGAAAAAGTTGTTTGATAGTAAATTCAAGCAGCGTAGCGTCTCAAAAAGCTAAGAATAGCTTGTGGACTTGTGGTTCAGTGTACGATATTGGCATATTTATGATTTGTTTTTATATTTTAAATTTCAGGCGATGTACCATTATGAATTTGACAAGGCAAGCCAAGTAGAATCTTCTAGTAAAGGACTACAGGTAAGATTGAAAATACCGAATAATAAATTTCATGAAAAATATAAAGTGTAAATATAGGTCTGCAATGCGCACAAAAGGTTAATTTTACCATATGCGGTGCATTGACACGTTACAACAGAAGACTCGAATGATGTCGATCAATTTGAATCAATGTTCCAAGATCTTATTAATTAATATTCGGGATAATATCTCTGTATATCACTGCAAAAGGTAGTCCTGTCCCAGTGAGTCAGACTGAAGGAATCTGAAAACACTATTCACAAGATCTTCTGTATTTTATCGTGTTTGGACTTCTGTTGTTGTAAAGGACTAATGCTAGCCAAGTTATAGTAGAATCTTTGCTGAAGTCATTGTTAACACACGGATTTGCGCAGAAAAATAAAACATCATGCTAGGTACAAATTGACTCTAAAAAGTTAAAGAGCTTGTGAAACTAAACAAGTGGTGAGGCATTTAGCACTTCGGATGTAATCGAGATGAGGGAGGTCTTTCAAAAACTGTAAAATTTCAGACTGAGTAGCAAAAGCACTAACGACCCCATTCATTTTTACAAAACAGCGTCACACAAGTGTTTAATACATTGGGCTCAAATTCAAATGTCTTAATATAGTCAAAATAAATATCAGACTTCATATTCTTATTGCTTGATCAGAGATTGTGGCGCTTGCGCAAATGAGCGACTTCTTTATCGTAAGGATATTAGCTAATTTTGGTCTTTTTATTACAATTACAGCTGGAGTACCATTAGAGAACCGTTCTGATACAGACATGGCAAGAAGACATCACAAGTAACGAAATGACCAAAGGTACGCTTAAGAAAACCTTTTAGGTTAAGTTCATGATTACATCAAGAAACATAGGACCGCAATGTGCACTTGTCTTAACAGCTAAAAACGACAACGTATTCAGGTATTGCAACAGGAAAACAAGGCATTGATCTATTCAGGAAAGAAACAAATAACAAGAATTAAGAATAAAGTAACAAATTATATTAACAAACCTTGAGATTTTGAGCACTAATTTTATACTTAAGTTGAAAAATGTCGGCAAATGACTAAACTTTGTGAAATTTTCAAAAATTTATCGAAAAACATCTAACTGTGTCAGTTTGGTTGCGTACGGTTGACTTTTCTATAACTAACATGTTTTGATGGCTACTCCACTCAAAATTGGAAGTTTTCACTTTGCTTTGAATGCAATTTGTGAGGAGA